TATCTATATACAGCTTAGTAGTTGCATAACATACTTGTTTCATTCAGTTGCTGTCATAACTCTTCGTCTCTTATCTTGTTAAGTATAACACATACTTTGTCAACAACTTGAATAGCAATCCTTTTCGATCAAAACTATTTTTAAAGTTTAGAATCATTAAGGGTATCAAAATAAATACGATTAAATAACAKATTCACCTTTCTGAAACCCGCAATAAATTGTATATGAACAAAGCCTTCATCATTCATCCGCTTGCACGAACTCGTCTTTACGTAAATTCTCGTCACTATAACAGATTGAAAAAAAAACATTATAACTAAAGTTATTTGAGAGGAGTGCAGTGGTAAGAAGAAGGTATTACCTAAAGTAATAATGAACTTGATTCTGTATYCTGGTTTCCAAGATAATCTTRAAAYTGGCTAGTTTTAAAGGAAGAATCTTKAACCAAGAAGACGTAAGGAGGAGATTCAATGAAAGGCATGTGATGAGGATGATACATCGGCGATGAAGTCCATTCTAAAATGAAAGATATGATGCATCAGAAAAAAAAAACTCGGAAGAGTAAACAAAACAAACTCTAGACTTTCAATGTAAGTTAACTCACCAAGGAATACCATAGGACCGCTAAACGGATAAAAAGGCTGATGAAGTGGCCCATAGTGGGGCAGCATAGGTGGTGGTGTGTTATATTTTATAAATCCCGTATACCTCGTGGTGGTTGTGCAAATCCGCCTCTCGCCTATTGGTAGTTGTGCAAATCCTCATCGACCATTAATGTTTCCGTGGAGATTCCAATCCTGATGGCCATGTTCCCGATTGCGCTTACCTTCACGACTTTGATGAGGATGGTGATTACCAWTWTGGTTCTTGTATGAGTTCCCTTGATATTGGTTTTGGCTACCATGGGATTGTGATGCAAACTCGTTCCTCTGGTTTTGGCCTCTAGGRAAAGGATAGTGCAAAGGAAATTCRGGATAGTCATACGAACTTTRTCCCGAARGTTGAGYRAGAGTACCATTGGTGGACGCAGATGCAAACATCCTTTTACATTTTTCCATTTGTTCGGTGAAGGCTAGTGCACCRGTAAGTATCTCAGTTTTCTAAAATCAAAGACAGAAAAGCTACATTACTAAATCACAAACACTTAGAAATATCCAGTTAAAAAAAAAAAACAGAGAAATAAACTCTTGCAAGCATTGTCTTTGGTTTTCAAAATAGAAGACTTTCAATTCAAGTAGTAAATTTTCCGAACCTAATCAAACGTCATCATGAAGTTGAATCAAATCTCATAAATTCCATTAAATTCAAACCTGAGAAACAGGAACA